GCTCCTGTTCAGCTTCCTGTCAACCCAAACTCCCAGGTCCCTTTCTGCCTGGCTGCTCTCCAACCACTCTGCCCCCAGCCTGTAGCGCTGCATGGGGTTGTTCTGTCTTGCAAAAATTCTTAATGGCACTTCAAGATTTTGGCATCAAAATATGGACAGAATGTATTTTATGCTCTGGTCTTCTCCAATATTGCTCCATGCTGGGAAAGCACAATCTTCTTTGTGATAAGTACTGAAAAGGGAAACCTTCTGGGCAAAGGCTCAAACAGTCATCTGATCATTGATGACCTGGTTTTGCAATTAAATTAGTCCAGTTCAGTGACGTGCCTTTGGAGTGTTTGGTATGTTCTTAATATTCAATTTCAGGACAGTTAAAATACCGACAGGAGTACACCAAATAAAGCAAGAAGTTTTTGCCATTGTTTCATTTCCTTTTCCAAAATCGGGGAAAAAATTACTAATTATCCAGACAAATCTACAACCCATGTTAACTTCTGCGGACTAATTTCATTATTCAGTTCACTCTTTCTTACTTTTTCCTCTTTGCAGAAATGTAAATCTACTCCTTATAACCGTGTTTATTATGTCTACATCACTGAATAATTCTTCAAAACACAAGAAGTATGGTTTATTTTATTCATCTTTGCAAGAGAATGCTCAGTGTTCAGAGGATGCACTATTTAATTGCATAAACCTTATGAGTTTAATTGGACAACTATACAGGGTCTTTTAAAGTTAAACGCCCAGCTAATCTACCAGGTCACTTATGTGAGATGACAGTTCGTCAAGCACTGAGTCAAGCTGTAGTCACTTCTCTCTGTTCTGGACTACCTTTAAATTGCATTAAGAATGTGTACAAATCTCTTCCTACTTCATCTATCAAGACCCATAGTTGACTAACCTCCACTTTATCATTCTTCCTTCAATGAAATGTCCTTTAAAATCTTTTAAAATTACATATTAATTTTGTTTCCAGAACAAAATATTCACTCCATCATCTAATAAATTAAAACAAACAACAATTCAACAGTGAAAAGCAGCTGAGTGTTATAACTAAATCTGCAACTCTGATCAAGAGATTTTCAGATGAAAAAACAATAATGCATATGAACTATTCATTCTACATATCAGACAGAAGCACACAGATATCCATTCAACCAACTCAGATTTCAATTCTATCATCCCTCATACAGAATATCCACTTGTATATAATTTATTGCCAAGGCAATACTGACAACATTCAGTATTTACTATAAAGTTTTTTTAAACTTCATCAAGCAAACACAAAAACTTCAAAACAAACTTAAGCTAATGCAGAAGACATGTACCAATGCAGAAGAATTGAGCACTTCACTATACTCTGGAAGAAAAAGTGTACTTTATTGGATTTAATTAACAGAAAAAATGTTAGTTATTATGCATGGTCAAATAGATTACTTCTACAGTAATTCAATGAATGTGTTCATATTATTCCTTCTAAGACAAAGATCTCCACATGTACTAAAGTATGATTTTAGTGTAGTTACAGAACTAAAAGAAAAGTGAGGGGAAAGAAATATTTTTAAAAAATGACGTAGCATTTTAGCAATAAACATCAAAATTAAGACAAGACCTGATGACTAGGTTAAACTGACACTGACCAAATGAAAATAATTCCATCATACAAGTAGAGCTATTAATGAGATGAAAAGATAAAAATATGCCTAAGCCACAAGATAACACACAAGAAATAAGATGGGAAAACCCCCCAAACTAACAACTTAGGAGTTTGGGGGGGTTTTAAAAGATAAATGTATTACAAAACTCTTGAAAAAAATAGCAACACTGAAGTGATTTCACTTATGCAATGAACACAATGGTGCTGTAGAATTTTCAAGTCCTACCAATTCTCCATGTCCCCAATAGTAACTTATATTGATGTCATGTGAAAATATATTTTACATCCCAGTTAGACAAGCACTCAACTGAGATGCATGAAAGCATAAGGATAAAATTGCCTTTTTTACTCTGAATTTCCTTACAATTCAGTTGAGAGTTAGAAATCAGACTAGCTTTAAATTCATCACACGGTTAAGAATACAAATGCCATAAAAAGTAATACTAAAAAGATACTATTCTTTTCAAACTCAATCCCTTATATAATTACATTCTATGGTTAGCCTAGTAAAACTGCAGGTTTTCATGAGACAGTAAATAAAGTTTGAACACCAGAAGTAATTTCATAGTTAAATACCTTGTGATACTAACCTACCCTGCGTGAAAATTCATTTTTACTTGACTACTTTATTCTAGTCAGGTTATTTCTTTTTTTTGCATGTAAATAAATGCATATAGCTTCATTTTAAAGATAAACAAAGCTCAAATCTATAAGACAAGTTTCAGTTTTTAGAGAAACAGTAGCAAAAAATGCTTTAAAGCTCTTAAAACTGCACTGCTTTCAGCTTGGATATTTAATGCTTGCATGTTATAAGCACTTTCACATAACAACTGTAAAACAGAGAGGACACTTGACAATGGACTCTTCACACTCATGTTTCAGTAGCTGCATGGCAGAAATCAATAGGTTTCTGTTTTCCTACAAGTCACGTGCATTTGCTTCCTTTCACTCAAACAGTGCTTAGGAAAAGCAGCTTCCCACCTCTTTGCTTTTGAATAGTCAATCTGCTCTAATTATTGTAGTCGAGAAATGGTGCACTCTTTTTATTATAAAACAACTTCTGTTAAATTCAGTACTTGCCCAAGTACCTGGAAATTTTAAACAGTCATCAGATTAAAGCAGAGATAATGAAAACATTGAACCAGAATGTTTTTTAGCAAGCACCCCTAACTACAAAACCATCAAAAATTCATAAATACATGATAAAGATTCCTCTCTGATAAGAATTTTAAATGCAGTACATGCTATGATCATTTTTATACATTTTTAATAAGCTAAATATATCTTGTTTCAGAAAACAGAGTCCAAAGAGGGGGGGTTACTAGAATAAATTCCACTTGCTTAAGCACGTATTTTTAACGGCAAAGTTCTTGCTAGGTGGACCAGGAAAGACATGTGAAGAAGGGGGGACAAAGGAAAGTACACTGCTCTGATTAAATTGCAAGTGCTACGCTCTTATCTGACTTACACAGTTGTGCAATGTTATTTAAAAGTGCTACCCAATAAGCATGAAAACAGATAGAAAGCTATGCAGTTATACAACCAAATTCTACCTGCTGTAAATACATTGGTTCAAAAGCGTCAATTAAGTATCTTTTGTAATGAACTGTAAGTGTTCTAACAGTAGCTGAATTATCTACAGAGAACACATGAAATGTCAATTTCTGTGTGAAAATGGGTCATTTTAATCATGTTTAGGTTCAATAGCTAAATTACAACAACACACATGAAAGTGTCAAGTGAAGACAATTTCTTAGATTTTGAAAGCAAACAACACAATTGCAGTTACTTTTTTTCCTTAAAAGAAAAACTAGAAATGTTGAGCTTTTTTGACAGGGAAGACAAATATAAAATGTGACGGAGAACAAGAGAAAAAAAATATAGTTAAATGAAGAGATTTCAGAGGTATATATTGAAAACAGAATGGATTAGAGTCAGAGGAACCAGCATTAAATGACCAAGCAAGATTTCTTCATTTAATGACTGGAGAAAGAGGAATCCAATTCAGAGCATGGAAAAAGCAGACAGGCATCTCTGATGCTTATCCACGTCCTCCCCCTTCCTCGCACTGCTTGTAAATGATGTGCTAAAGGTGAACTCAGATGAGATGTATTTCTTAAAATCAACTCTTTTGAGACTTAAAGGTGCTGATTCACTACGACATTCTTAACACAGTGAAAATTTCAGCTTCATTCAACTCTGGTCCCAAGGCTAGGGAACTGCTCCTTTTCTCTCCCATCAGTGCAGTAACACCATTCCGTGTCCTTTATTTTGCCCCTTGTGCCCCACAGTTTCTCTCACAACTCTAAGCAGGTCCCACTGTCCCTAGCCACACCTTTTACTACCATTCTTTCCTGACGAAAACTGCATCTCTCTGTACTTACTCTCTTGCACCGGTGTGGCAATCTGTTGCTAATCCCTTCTCATACCAGTTGAACTTCCTCTTGGTTTCAGGCTATAATTTAAAAGGAATATACTGACATTATCTGTACTATTTCCCTGCTTCAGAAAATAAGATTTTGTATCTCTTTAAAATGGTCCCTCCCAAATCCTACCAGACTCTATTTGAAATGCAAATATCCTAGAGGGAACTACCAGCTATCTATTTTTAGAAAACCCTTCTGCTGCTTCTAACAAAGACTTTTAGATCTGCAGTCCCAGATTTCAATACCTCTGGTAGCTAACATGAAAACCAAAAAACACCCATTTTAAAATTCTCTCAGAAGTAAAATCCTGTGCAATTTTGACTCTCTGAAATCTAAAAAGCATATTTGGAGACGAAACTGTACCTTACAAATAATTAACAACTAACGTCAATAGTCAGAGATCACTCTGTTAGGTACTATGTACGTATTTAAGAGATAAGCTTTTATCCTAAAAGCTTGCAATTAAGCTTATTAGAAGTGACACAAAGACATGAGAAAGAGACAAGATAATAATACATTAATTATTATTAGCATAAAGAAGAGTCATAGCATACCATTTGCCTAGTCATTGCAAAGTATTAGCACAGTCAAGCATTTTTTTACAAAGCATCTGAAAATGAAAATGTAAGTGGCTTTTCAGACTTATGTGGATCTTTCCTTTTTCATTTCAAGACCAGCTGAAGAAAGTATGAAGGCTTTTCAGGGAAAACTAGAACAAAGAAGTCTGACAGGCCTAAGACCAATGAACTGAAAGCTCAAAACCTAATAGAACAGACTACTAGATCTTGTTCTATGATGTGCCTAGAATGCAGGTTTTCCACCCTTCTCAAATGTGTTTATGATTTCAACGAGATAAAAATCTGACTTTGTGATCTTGCTCAATTCTGTCCACACTTACTGGAGAGTCATATACTCACCTCATCAGTAAGAAACTCCTTACTCAGACCGAAGTCTGTCAGCACCACATGGCCATCAGAATCGAGGAGAATATTCTCAAGTTTTATATCCCGATATATAATCCCCAACTGCAAAAAGAATATAAGAAAAAGTATTTCCAAATAGTGTAACCACATCAAGGAGACATCACTGAATGCATTTAAATATGAAGTCACCAACATTTCCATTATTAAGATAATCTGACACATGAAAGTTGCACCTCAAAAAGGACAATTTTTAAATGCCTTTGAAGAACTAACTGTAATGCAAGTGTAATCTCTGATAATTTTTAAGTAATTTCAATGTCTTAAAATTTAAGGGGCATACTACATCTCCCTTGAAACTAAAAGTGACCGAATACTTGCTGTTGAGTGCACAACTCAGTTCAGTGTTCACTAAAAATGAAAATGGATGCTGTTGTTATATGTTTTAGACATAGACCATACATACATGCTTTGTAATAGTCTACAAATCTACTTAGTACCTCTGAAAATTGTAATAATTTTCATGTCTACAATTGTGCTAGAACTCCACCACTCAATTGTGTTGAAACAAGGACAACTGAACAATACTACAACCCAGAACTTGTTCGTGTTCACTACAAATTAGTTTTACGGACATACACCATTTCACAGGATTACTAAAAATTAACAATCATTTGTCAGTAAGACTACTCTTCACAATGCAGACAAAAATTTGTAGCCTTAATCTGGTGCACAAGAAGAGATACTTAAAGGGAATTATTTCTAATTATACAACTAATGTCCCAATAGTAGATAAAGTTACTCTGAACTTAAAACAATCTAAAACAATAGTTGTCCTTACTAACTTTACATGATGCAAAAAGAATATACAGCTTTAGGTCCTCAAAATCAGCACTAGGATAAAATTACTTTACCTTGTGGAGATGTTCAAGTGCCAAAACGATTTCCCCAATGTAAATTTGCACCTCATTTTCTGAGAATCTCTCTCTGTGTGAAAGATGAGTAAACAATTCTCCTCCATTTATATAGTCTAAAAAGTAGAAAAAACCACCTTAGAATTTCACTTTCTGAAAATTTAATTTTCTTATTGGAATAGTCTGAGGTACTTTGTAAGCTATTTAGTAACACGTTCTGCTATCAGATGCTTTTACTTTACTGTAATTCACTAATATGTTGTACAATATTCAATTTCCTTCTTAGAGGACTGAGGGAAGAACAAGACCCACTTTTAAATAAGCAGCAAAACAAAATAAGCCTCAAATATTCATAAATTATAAAGAGGGCATTTTTTGCAAAATCAGTCTTTCAGTTATTTAGGAATATGAAAAGAAAGGAGTACAAATGATATCTACACAGTATTTGTAGACTCTTATGAAATACTCTTGTGAGCAACAAGGCAGACTGACATAAAGGCAATTCAGAAAACAGGTATTAGGTGAAATAATCAACTACGGACGGTTACAAAATTTTCCCTTCACAAGAGAAATTAAGATGGTAAAAATTACTGGAGGAGATTATTTCCACATACAGTCCCTCATGGAAACCACACTTTCATTCTTTTCAGGCTATGACACAAGGTTTTCCCGCAGTAAGGAAGAGGGGAAAAAAAGTAACTATTACAACAGAGCTCCACTGCAACACAAACATTTTAGATGAAGAGCTGTTTATGCTAGCAGTGTACATTACAGCCATTAATTTGCAACCTCACAGCCCCTATTATTGTATTTGAGGTCTACATGTACAGAGCAGGGAACACACCCCACATCATCTTATGCAATATTTTCTTCAAAATTGTTTCTCTAGATTTATTGGTATAAGACCTAAATCCATTGGGATTTATCTTATCCATCTTATAAGACCTAAATCCATTGGACCCTAAAAGGATCCAATCCTATTGCAATTTAACAGTTTGAAGGAGAAAGCATGTATATATAAATCACAGACATTCTGATCTCTCTCCACTTTTTAGTTCTCCAGTTGTCTGTTTGAGAAGGAATACTAGTTAAATCAAACAATGTAGGGAAAAGTATTTATCTATATCAGTAAGCATATGAAAAAGATTTAATGAAATACAAATAACCTACATTTTACAATTGCTTCCTTCTTCTAAAAAACTTCAGCACATAGAAAAAGATAACAGAAACAAATTTTTTAAATATTTCTAGCTGGAACCGCTAACTTAGTATAAGGTAAGCATTGAATTCCCAGGCACTGTCCTAAGGACTGTGACAGATCCAAACCAACGCTGCCACAGGAATGGCACAAGCTTAATTCTATGCAGGTTGTAACATTAACCACAGCCCAATGAAACAACCAGCCTTCATGTTCTTGGTGCTAGATCAAATGCATGGCTAAAATAGTGGAAAAAAAATTACCAGTTAGTTCAATATAAACTCCATTTGACAGTTCAGATTATTTAGCTTTTTTTTAAGTATTAGTAGGTTAACCTTGCATGACAAGCTTTGTATAGGATTGGTGGCATTCACATGGACACAACACTTAGTTCTTTCAATACAGCTTAAAGCCAATGTAAAAACTGGAATCAACTCCAAACCCTGCATTCTGGAAATTTGGCAGAAGTGCAGCTGCACGTCTGTACTTGATTCAGTCTATTCATACAGCTATGTAATCTGACAGCATAAAGAACTGTACCAAATATTGCACTGAGGCTCCAATTCTAAAAATTCTTGAAGCTAAAATGGCATGTTCTCACACACCAAGTTCAGCCAGGTACAAAAAAAAAACCAGACACTGGTTTCCCCCAAAATTCAGAAGCCTCTGAAACACATACATTTCAAAACTAAACTGAAGTGATTCACAAAGACTTACATAACGAGAAATGAAAAACTTGTAACAAACAATTTATTTCCCTCAGGAGGGTGTGAAGCCTAGTTGAATTACAAAGTAGCTTACATCATGTTAGGTAAAAAAAATATACACTGTTAGAAAAAGTGATTAAAAGAAAGTTTTAAACTAATTATTCCCATTTTCTTCTAAAAAAGAAGGAATAAAGGACCTTTCTGGCCCCAACGGATATTCTGAGAATGCATACAGAACTTAGGGAAAAAACAAAACAAAACAGAAGGCTGTAGTTATACATTAGCTATAAATTTCTTGCTTCAAACATCACCTCAGCATTGTATTACAGTGGACACATGCCCAGTGTGCACTATCTGCTATGTAATGTTCTTCAGAACTACTGGGCTTGCTCCTCTCTGACTCTTACAAGAATATAATATCAAGCTTTTAATTTTCCTTCATATAAGAGGCTTTTAGGGGCTTCTAATTATCCTTGTCATCTAAATTTCTCCAATACTATGTATTTATTTTTAGGTAAATACATCCATCTCAGGTTTGAGGTTGGGGTGTTTTTTATTTTTTTTTTCCTCCTTTTATTTAATATTTCAAATAGGATCTGTATTCTATACAAAAGTATCTTGATTTAAAGAATGGTACTATAATATTTATAATAAATATTCACATTCTGTCTTATTTAATCTCTCAAATTTTCCTAAGTTATTAACACTAAATTATAAACACTAAATTTGCTCCTGATCTGAAAGGTAGAAATATTTTTAATTTTGGAGTGGTACCAAACCTTATGAACAAGCTCTATTTGCAGCACAGAAATGTGTGATTTTAGATTATCTCTTAACACCCAAAAATTGACACATGCAAGGTATCTCAATACTCAAAGATCAAATTATTTCATAACAAAAGTTTTGGCATCAAACGTTTCCAGGCCATTGATGAATATACATATATATTTTTTGCTGCATATTAGTCACAGATACCACTAACCCTGCCAGTCAGAGTAGAACACTGAAGTTCAAAAAGGAAAACCACAAATACAGACACTGTTGAAGATGAACAGTATTTTCCTTCCTATGCTCTCTCATGCGATCTCCAACCACACTGTACTTAACGCCAAATGAAAAAAACTACAAAACATTGAGATAAAAGGGCTTTTTTTTTTTTTTCATTAACATAAGACTTAAATCCATAAGACTACTCACCTAAAATGAGATGAAGCTTTGTATCTGTCTGGAAGGCATAATGTAACGTGACTAAAAATGGTGATTGCCTAATGTGCTCCAAGACTTGTCGTTCTGTCCTTGTGTGCTCAGTTGTTTTGGCTTTTTGAACTATTGTTGCTTTCTTCAGTACTTTCATGGCATATAGTTTTCCAGCATCATGGCCGCTTACTTTCCTCACGAGGAACACTTTTCCATAGGCTTAAAAAGTGGAGAGAAAAACAAAAAACAAACCAAAGACACAAAAAACACAAGTTACCTATTGTACTACAGATCTGGCTGATACTATTATTATTTTCAATTACTCATTGTTATGGCAAGCAGTAATCATTCAGGTTAAAATCTTCTAAAACACTTTTTCTGTTTCAGACTGAACTTTTCTGAGCAAAATTCAACCAAATGAGCTTCTCAACTGAACACTGCCAGACTAGGAAAACAATAGGTTTCAGTATTTAAAAACAATTTTAAGAGCTAACGATTTCTTCCTTTGTAATAACCTAAAATTCCTATATCTAGAATTAAGCAAGAGTGTGGAGTAAGAGAGATGCTATTTTTTTGTCCTCACCATAGTCTGCCCATATTTGCACAACTTACATACTTTCATTATTGGTTTTATAGCACTGAGCTTCCAAAAATCCATAGAAAAACCAATTAATTCTTCCCATCAGTATTTAGTACATAGGAACTTTCTGAGGCTCCCCTACTGGACTTAAATGAGAATAAGCCAGAGGAATTCTCAAAAATAAAGTTAACTGAACACACACAGTAAAAGTAGTCTTTCCAGAGTTTTAAATACGCTCCATACTGAAATAATAAGTGGCAAACACTGACATCCTTTACTTTGTTTTTTTTTATTAAAAAGGACTCCTGGGAACTCCACATGAGTCAATACGATACCTCTACTGGAAAAACCTGTAGAAATAGTCAAGGTTAGAATTAGTGTGCAGTCGCAGAGCCATGATCTCACTGCAATTACAGAGAGATGGTGTGACAGCTTGCGCATGACTGGAATACTGTCACGGACGGTTATACACTTTTTAGGAAAGAGGCCAGCAAGGCAAGGTGGTGGAGTTGCTCTTTACATGAGACAGCAACTGGAATGTATCGAGCTCTGTCTAGGGGTGGATGAAGGAGGAGCCAAGAGTTTATGGGTAAGAATTAAGGGATAAGCTAACATGGGTGACACTCTTATGGGTGTCTACTGCAGGTCACCTGATCAGGAAGAGGAAGTAGATGAGGCCTTCTACAGACAGCTGGAAGTAGACCACATGATCACAGACCCATGGTTCTCAGAACCACCCTGGCAGCTGCTGGAAAGAAAGCACAGCTCGGCACACAGGAGCCCAGAAGGTTCTTGCAGAGCACTCATGATAACTTTCACATGGGGTGGGGAAGCCCACGAGGAGAGATGTGCTGCTGGACCTTGTACTAACAAACACAGAAGGACAGGATGGGGATGTGAAGACTGGGGGTAGCCTTGGCTGCAGTGACCAAGATGAGATGGTGGAGTTCAGAATCCCGCATGAAGAAAGTAGGGTAATAAGTAGGATTACAGCCCTGGACTTCAGGCAAACTAACTCTGGCCGCTTCAAGGGTCTACTTAGAGTACTCTCATAGGTTAGGTCTCTAGGCGGTAGGGCGGGTCCAAGAGAGTTGGTTAATATTCAAGTATTACTTCCTCCAAGCTTATGATCAGGGCATCCCTATGAATAAGAAATGAAGCAATAGGGGCTGAAGATCTGCATGGATGGGCAAGGCACTTCTGGCAAAACCTGAAGAGAAGAAGTTTACAGCATATGGAAAAAGGGTAAGGACACTTAGGAGGAATATAGGACTATTGTCAGAGTATGGTAGAGATGTGTCAGGGGAAGCTAAGGTCCACTTGGAATTAAATCTGTCAAGGGATATCAAGGACAACCAGAAGGGTTTCTTGAAGGACATCAGTAGCTAAAGGAAGACTTGGGAAAATGTAGGCCCACTGCTGAATGAAGTAGGTGCCCTGGTGACAAAGGGTACAGAGAAAGCAGAGTTATTGAACTTGCTTCTTACTGCTAAAGCTAGCCCTCAGAAATCCCAGACCCTGGGGGCTTTTTCTTGGTCAAGGATAGGGTTAGAAATCATTTAGGCGAACCTGACGCCCACAAATTCATGAGCCCTGAAGCTATTCATCCACAAATGCTGAGGCAGTTAGCAGATGTTACTGCTAGGCCACTCTCACTAATCTTTGAAAGGCCACAAAGAACAGGAAAGATTCCTGAGGACTGAAGAAAAGCCAGTATCACTCCAATCTTCAAAAAGGGCAAGAAAGAAGACTCAGAAAACCATAGGCAATTCAGCCTCACCTCCATCCATGGAAGGGTGACGGAACAACTCATCCTGGACCAGCTGGGAAGATGAAGGGGCAGCAGTGCACGTTCTCTACCTTGAATTCAGCATGGCTGTTGACACCATCTCCCATAAAATTCTCATATGTAAGCTCAGCAAGTGTGGGCTAGGTGAGTAGACAGTGAGGTGGATTGAGAACTGGCTGAATGGCAAAGGTCAGTGGGCTGTGATCAGTGGCACAGAGTTCTAGCCCAGAGAAGACAGAGGGGATCTTATCAATGCATACAAATAAATATATTAAGGATGGGTCTCAAGAGGATGGGGCCAGACTTTTTTCAATAGTGCCCAGCAACAGGATAAGGGGCAACATGCACAAACTGAAAAACATGAAATTCCATATGAATATGAGGCAAATCTTCTTTACTTTGAGGGTGACAACACACTGGAAGAGGCTGTCCAGAGAGGTTGTGGAGCCTCCATCTCTGGAGATATTCAAAACCCCCTTGCATACAATCCTGTGCAACATGTCCTAGGTTAATCTGCTTTAGCAGGGATTGGACTAGGTGGCCTCCAGTGCTTCCTTCCAATCCCAACCATTCTGTGTTTCTGTAGTAGATACACAAACAGGATGTTTGTATCTTTCACTATGTAAAAGAATGAGTGTTACTTTTGTAGATGTAAGTAATTATAATTGCTCAAAGGGATCAGGAGGAAGGAACAATGATGTGGTTGACCTATTTAGATCAAGGTACTTAAATTCTCTTGCAAAAAGGTCTTAAAAACACTAAACAATCATAGGTGCAAAGAAGGGGGGTCCACTTATAAATTAAGAGCTATGTTAGCAGACAAAAAGCTAAAAGATTAAAAATAAATATTCAGCTTTTTCAGAGAAAGCAGATCACCACAAGAATTCATCCTGCCTGATTCAGTCATAGATGAACAGCGATGAAGATGATTTTCTTGGTTTAGTAAATTATCCACTGCAACAGAAATTGAAGCTTACTGTTGAAAACTCTACCACAGTATGAAAATAGTAGCTGAAAAAATAAAATGGTAGATAAAATTTCAAATAGGTAGATGTGAATTCACATATCATAATAACATACAGTGTTAAAACTGAGAAGAAAAAAAATAACTGGAGTTACCACAGACAACCCTATGAGAAAACACCAGTAGTAATCAAAAAAAACAAACAGAATGTTAGAACTTCAAGAAAAGTATTGAAGAAATGACACAAGTGTACCATCCCCCGAACCTTCAACACAAACCCAGAAATCCCTTATGCTGTGGTACAAAATCTTTGTGTCCTTATATCTTGAACGATGCACACTATTTTGGTCTCTTCTGTCCCCAGCTCCCCTCCTCCCATTAGGAAAAAATAAGTATAAAACTTAGAAAAATAAAGGAAAGGGTAAGAGAATTCCTCTAATTATAAAGGGAAGTAAACATATTTCCACTCTTTTTTTAGCCTGAAAAAGTAGAGTCCTTAAGAAGATTATATAGAGTTTAGAGAAAAACAAAATTATATGAAGGTAAGTAAAGACCAAATTTTCATTATTTCTAGGAATAAAATAACTAAGGCAACAAATTAAATCATTAGGTATCAACATTAAGTACATAAAATAAATATGTAGTTAAGCTGTCGAACTACTGCTACATAATACTACAGATGTCAAAAATGTAGATGAATTCAAAAAGACTATATAAATCCCTGAGGGAGAGGAAAGCATGGCAAGTGTTGCTAAACACCGAAGAGAACCTCTGGCTCAGGCAGACCCCAAACTGCAGGCTGCTACAATCATCAGGAAATCATCACTGCATGCCTCTCTTAAGCCACTATGAGACGGAAAACTGAACCAGCTGGTTGCTTTGTCCAACCCTTATAATTACCTTCACATTACTTTTCTCAAAAGGAATGCTTAAGTATCTCTAACCTGAAAATACACTAGAACAGAGTATACTGTCCTGATCTGAGACATTCAAATTTAGTTGGTCTTTAAAAATGCTACAGCATATACTACGCTTTCAGTAAGCAAACGCATATAACTCCAGATTATTTTCTGGATTTTTTCCAGACAGGTAGAGACTTTTAAACTATCCAATGACACGTGGGTTTTTTTCCTACAACAAAGTTCTACTTCATTCAGTATACAGAAGTGATACTGCTCATATACTGAACAATTCTTTTTAAGAAGTTCTTTACCTGACTCATCACACTCTAAGGAATCATGCTTGGCTTCTTTACAGAACTCATTATCTGCAATAAGAGCTTTCATAAAATAAGTTTTTACAACATAACTCTCAAGAATGGCAAACAGACTCAGAATAGGTGAGTGTAAACATCTTTCTATTTTGGGAGACAAAGGCGAGATACACAGGACAGTCTCTTTCAAGGTTCTCAGTATTGTATTGCATTCTCCAACTTTGTAGGCATGAGATCTCTAAGTTGGATTCAATGGTTACCAATTGGTCATCAAGAAATGGATAAACAGATGTAAAAAGATCGCTTTAGTAAAATAGGCACGGGCCATAAATCCTGTCATGATCTACAGGCACAGGTGATCTGAATCGAGGTTGCACAGACCATAATATTGCAACCATAGCAATACCATTATGCATATGCACAATGTTATTTTCCAATACTGGATATTAACTTATTTTTAGCACCTGAAAAACAGATCCCTACCACTGAGATGACTGTTTTAAAGAAACTGCTTCCAAAAGTAATATTGACATCTTTATAAGGAGTTACTTCTCAAAAAATGTAGATAACTCTTCTGCATTTACTAATGCAACAAAAATAGTGCAGAGAATGGCCTTATCTTGCATTTCCCAACTGTTTAAAGAAGCAGCCCTGGTTTTCACCAGTTTTCAGC